GTGTTAAGTTTTTTTTTTTTTTTTTTTTTTTAATTTGCCAGAGGGCATATGCGTGCCTTCAAGATAGAGAGGGAGAAAGAGAAAGTACCCTCTACCCATGGGTGAAGGGTGCATGGTCACACCCTTCAACTACATTTCTCCTTCTGGGATTTTGGGCAAGCATGCACATGTGCCTGGTGTAATTTTCAAGGTGCAGGTCTGGGGCTCAAACCACATAGTCTGCCATGTGGGATCCAGCTGCCTTAACCACCACACCACTGCTGGTCCCCAGATTGCTTTCAAAGAGCAATTTGAACTACTTTCTAAAACTTAGTTTCCACAAATAGTATATAAAGACACCTATTGTTCTGACAGCAAAAAGTAGTGTTATCTCATTGAAATTTTAATCTGCATTCTCCAATTATTAAGGCTAAATATTTTTTAAAAGAATTATTTAGTTAGGGGACCAAGAGATGGCATAGTGGTTACATCACTGGACTCCCACATAGTTGACTGCAGTTTGAATCCCAGACCTGGCGGCTTGAAACTCAAAGAGCAGTCAACCATGTGGGAGCCCAGCACCTTAATCACCACACCACCTGCTGGCCCCAAGAATATTTTAAAAATTTGGGACCAGCAGTTAGCGTAATGGCTATGTCGCTGGACTCCCATGTATTCGACTGCAGTTCGCGTCCCAGACCCGGTAGTTTAAAACTCACGCCGGGCGCATGTGCGTGCGTGCCCAAGATCCTGAGAAGAGAATGGAGGAGAAGGGATTGTGGCGTGGCCATCCCCCCTGGGGGGTGATTTCTCACTTTCTGTCTCTCTGTCTCTCTCTGTCTGTCTGGTGAGCGCACACGTCCTATAGCAATAAAAAACTCTTCAAAAAAAAAAAAAGAATATTTAAAAAATTTAAGTCTGGGGCCAGTAGGTGGCATGGCCGTTAAGGTGCTGGATTCCCACTTGGCTGACCATGGTTCAAGTCCTGGACACAGAGGCTTGAAAATCATGCTTGGTGTGTGTTCATGCCCCAAATCTAGAGCGGTGAATGGGGAAGGGACTGAGGTGTGGCTATTCCCCTAGGGTGGGGGTGATTTCTCACTTTCCCTCTCTCTCTCTCACTCTATGTGTATGTGTGTGGTGTGTGTGTGTGTGTGCATGTGTGTGTGAGCATATACACCCTTATGGCAAAAACCTAAAAAACAAAAATAAGTCTTAAATACATCTGGACTTCATTTTTAGATATGGTTACTGTTGGTCCAACTTTACCTTCTTCCAGATTAAAGTCAATTGTGCCAGAATCCTTTATTTTTCCTTCCAGTTTTTGCTATAGGGTGTGTGTGTTTGCCAGAGTCAGAAAAAGTGAGAAATCACCCCCTCGGGGGTATGGTCATGCTATAATCCCATTCTCCTCTCTAGATTCTGAGTACGTACACATGTGCCCAGTGTGAGTTTCAAGCTGCCGAGTCTGGAACCCACTGGTAGTGTGTGTTGTGTGTATGTGCCCCAAATTTTGGTGAGATAGAAAAATGGGAGGAAAAAGGATTGCAGTGTAACCATATTCTACTTGGAGGGGGTGCTTTCTTTCTCTGGAGAGTGCATGTGCCCTCTGGCAACTGAAGAAAACAAAATTATCTTAACTAAAACAGAATTAGAGGTCTTCATTTATTAATATATATATCATTAGCAAAAAATGTTTTTTTTTGGGGGGGAGAGGTTTTCACTATAGGGCGCGTGCACTCGCCAGACAGAGAGAGACATAGAGACAGAAAGCGAGAAATCACCCCTCCAGAGGGGATGGTCACGCCGCAATCCCTTCTCCTCCATTCTCCTCTTGGGATCTTGGGCGCACACGCACATGCGCCCGGCGTGAGTTTTAAGCCACCGGGTCCAGGACACGAACCGTGGTCAACTACGTGGGAGTCCAGCGACATAGCCATTACGCTAACTGCTGGTTCCCAGCAAAAAATGGTTTTACCTTTTCTTTTCCATTGTTTATACTGATTCTTTTCCTTTTTTATAAAGTTCATTTCTTCCATGAAACAGAGAGAAAGACGCACACAAACACACACACACACACACACACACACACACACACAGAGGCATCCCCAATAGGGTGTATAGGTCCCAATCCACCCCCAGTTTCAGCTGGCCCAGTTCACAAACATGAAAGTGCACACCTGGTATGCTCAGGGAGGCTACAGGATGTGAACTCAGAACCTTTCCCATGTGGATGTGGTTGTGTTACTACTCCTGCCTAGCCCCTAATTTTCTTTTATATTGCCCTCATTGGAACTTCCAATACAATATTAAATTCCTACCTTTTTTCCTTTCAAGTTTTTGCCATAGGTCATGTGCGCTTGCCAAAGAGGGAGAGGAAAAGTGAGAAATCACTCCCAAATGGTGGGGGTGGGGGGATGGCCATGCTTTAAAAAAATGGCTTTGGCATACTATTTGCTATAGGATTTTGGGAAAAAACTCTAAGTGGTTATCATCAACTAAATTTAATTAATGTAAAATTAGAAATGTTTGAAATTTTATTAAATGCCTTATCACCATCTATTGGTGGTGCAAATGATTTCTCTCCTTCAAGCTGTTAATTTTATCTCTATTTCTTATTTCTGAACTAGCTCTGCATTCTTGGGATAACATTTTTTTCTTTCTTTCTTTTTTTTTTTTCGTATGGCAGTTGTGCTTGCCAGAGAGGCAGAGACAGTGAGGGAAAGTGAGGAATCAACCTACGGGGGGATGGACATGTCATAATCCTTTCTCCTCCATTCTCCTCCTGAGATTTTGGGAATGTGTACACACATGCCCAGTGTCATTTTCAACCTACCATGTCTGGGAGTTGAACCTTGGCAGGCCATGTGGGAGTCCAAGGCCTTAACCGCAACACCACCTGCTGGCTCCCTTGGGATAACTCTTATTTGGCTAACAAAGTATGTCATTCTTTAGGTATATTGCTAAATTTCACTTACTACTTAAACTAGACAATTTTTGTTTCTATATTCATGAGTAATCTGATATGCGGTTTTCTCCCAACTTTCATTTGATTTTGGTGTTAAATTTATTCTGACTGCAGGTAAACTGAAATATAAATAACACTAGTTTTACTATTTCTTTAAAAAAGTAGATAGAACTAATCATGAAACTGTCTAGGCCTGGAATATTTTTTTAATTACAAAAGGCTTCCCTTACTTATGGCTTTTTAGGTTTCAGTTAACCAGTCAACCAAAGTCTGAAAATAGGTAAGTACAATACTATAAGATATTTTGAGGAAGGGGGCCAGCAGGTGATGTGGTGGTTAAGGGCAGTGGACATGCCCAACCATGGTTCAAGTCCTGCACCTGGCAGCTTGCTTTCTCAAGTTCCTTCTCTCTCTCTGTTCTTCTCTGGTCAAATTAAAATAAATAAATAAAGTTAAATAAAATAATTCTTCAAAAAATATTTTGAGGGAGAGATCAAATGCACGTAACTTTTATTACACTATACTGTTATAACTTTCATTTTATTATTAGTTATTTTTGTTAATCTTTTACTGTGTATAATTTATAAATTATGCTTTATCATAGGTATGTATATATAGGAAGAAACATAAGTATTTGTAGAGTTTAGTACCATCCATGGTTTCAGGCATCTCACTGGTAGAGGATGGGTCTTGGAACATATTGCTCATGGATAGCAGGAACTAATGGCATAGATCTTTAATCGCTATTCCAAATTCTTCAATGAAGATTGTTCTACCAAGTTTTCTACTTCTTATTGCAACTTTCATGACTTAAAAAAATCTATTTCTTCTGTATTAAAAATATATTGATCTACAGTTGTCTGAGGTATCTTTTTAAATCTTACACTTTTTCCAAAGCTTTTTTTTATAGGGCACATGCACTTGCCAGAGAGAAAAAGGGAGAGAAAGTGAGAAATGACCTTCCTGGAGGGATGACCCCCCACAATCCCTCAGGATTTTGGGCACACATACTTGTGCCTGTGATTTTCAAGCCAACAGGTCTGAAACTCAAATTGTGGTAGGCCATGTAGAAGTCCAATGCCTTAACCACTACACCACCTGCTCATCCCTAATCATTCTTTTAATAATGTTTATGTATGTGGTTGTCTATCCTTTCTTATCAGGCAGTCTTATAGGGAGGGAAATTTTGAAAAATGTAGATTCTGAGTGGCTACTTAAATATTGGTAGAATTATAAGACCTATATATAAAACATGGCCAACCATGGTTCAAGTCATAGACCTGGCGGCTTCCTTTTTCACTTTCCCTCTCTCTCTTCGTTTATCTCTGGTCAAATTGGAAAATAATAATAATGAATAAAGTTAAAATAAAAAATAATTATAAAAAGAAAATATGACTAATATACTATATACATTTTTGTAGGTGTGCCGAGTATTTTGTTTAGCCAGAATCTGGTTGTTAAGCTACTCAAGTTTGTATTTTCTTCTTTTAAAAAAAAGAATTATTTTTATTTAACTTTATTTATTTTAATTTGACCAGAGAGAAACAGAGTGAGTGAATAAGACAGAGAAAGAGAAAGTGCGAAAGCAAGCCTCCAGGTCTGGGACTTGAACCAGGGTCGGCCATGTGGGAGTCCAGTGCCATAACCACCACACCACCTGCCGGCCCCAAGTTTGTATTTTTTCAATATAAATTTATTTTTATTAAAGTTTTTGCTTGACATCTCAAAAGACATAATAAAGACATTGGTTTATTTAGAGAAGGATTCAATAATAATTGATATAGCCATTTACATTTATTACATAAAGGTAGAGAAAATGTTTCTGATATGATACATTAAAGTTCCTTTTTAAATAGTTGGCCATGTTTTTATTGTTACTGTTGTTGTGATTAATATTTTTTGTACTGTAAAGATACCAAAAAACAGGGCCAGCAGGTGGTGTGGTGGTTAAAGGCACTGGATTCCCACATGGCCAACCGTAGTTCGAATCCAGGACCAGGCAGCTTGCTTTCTCACTTTCCCCTTCTCTCTCTCTCCATCACTTTCTCATCAAATTAAAAATAACAATAGTAATAACTAATGGAATTAAATAAATTAATTTAAAAAAAGATACCAAAAGACAATGGTGATACTTGCATGGAAAAGTTTCGTGAATGATATTCTCCATATTATGTGACATATACATGTTTGATTTTCAGAATTTATGTTAAGTTCACATTTACACTTGTAAGATATAAGTAGTACGTATTATGTGAGTTACGTGGAGCATATCATAATATACCTTTAAGTCTCTTCACATGTATTTTGCGTTATCATTCTATTAAACATTTTTAAACTTTTATATGCCAAAATTATCATGTTTATGTCTTATAAAGTATTTTCTTTTATCTTTTTTTACCACATTTGGAGCATGACTTCCCTTAAGCTTTGTCCAAATGCATTAAATTGGTTAAGATTTCTCCTAAGGATGAATTTTCCTGTACATAGTGTAAATGGGTATCTCCCTCAAGGCTTTCCCACAACTACTAGATTTTCATTTCTGTAGGCATTTTTCCTAGCATGAATTTTCTGATGTCTACTGAGGTTTGGTTTCTGATAGAAAGCTTTACCGCATTCACTGCATCTATAGGGTTTTTCTCCTGTATGAGTTCTCCAATGTTTATTGAGACATGACTTCTGGCTAAAAGATTTTCCACATTCTCTACAACGATAGGGTCTCTCTCCTGTGTGCATTTTTCGATGTACATTGAGGTATGACTTCTCACCAAATGACTTCCCACATTCGCTGCACACAAAAGGTCTCTCTCCTGTATGTGTTCTCTGATGTTCTGTACGGTGTGACTTTTGAGTGAAGGCTTTCCCACAAAAAAAACATTCAAAAGGTCTTACCCCAGTGTGAATTCTCTGGTGTTTAATGAGGGTAGATTTATGTGAAAAGGCTTTCCCACAGTCAGTGCAGCCATAAGGCTTCTCCCCCGTGTGACTTCTCTGATGTCTAATGAATTCAGACTTGTAACAGAAGGCTTTCCCACACTCGTTACAGACATGAGGTTTTTCTGTAGGTGGAACCCTCTTCCGTTTGTATGCAAGAGAATTCGTTACTGCTTGTTTATACATGAATGTTGGGTTATGGCTGAAAGCTTTCTCACAGTGACTGCATCCCCAAGGTTTTTCTCCATTAGGTCTTCTGTCATGGTTTGTACACTGTAACAATTTCCCGTATCCATAATATTCGTCTTGTTTTTTTGCATAGTTTTTCTTAAAACCAACCAGGTCTAAACAATGATTCAAACTCTTTCCATAAGGGTCCCAGCTATTGGGGCTTTGAATTGAAGGAAAAAGATCAGTGCTCAAATGCGGTATTTTCCCAAACTTACTACATGCATGGACTTTTCCCTTGGGCAATGTTTTCTTGCTGATGAAAGCACCTTGCCTCAAGAATATGGCTTGCCGTCTTTTCCTCTGGACATTAACTTGCCAGATGTCTTCTGGAGAAAATACAGTGAATCATTCCTTATGAATGTTTATACTACTATGATCTGGAATAAAAATTACTTGAGAAATGTCCTCAACATTTCAAGGGTACAGAGTATATGTATAGAGAACATAAATCATAACCAAAAGCACCAATGCAGAGAAGGGTGGTAAACTATGAGTAGAGGATTCACAAAATAGGCACAAATTGAATGCAATATGTCATAGAATATAGAAAAAGATATTTTGAGGAAGAAATGATATAGAGAAGGGGTTATCAAATTTGTTCATTTTTTCTCTTTTTTTTTAAGAGAGATTTTTTGCTATAGAGTGCTTGTGCTTGCCAGAGAGAGAGAAAGTGAAAAATCACCCCCCAGGGGGGATGGCCACACTGCAGTCCCTTCTCCTCCAGCCTCTTCTTGGGATTCTGGCCATGCACATACACACACCCAGCATGAGTTTCAAGCTGCCGGGTCTGGGATTTGAACTGTGGTCAACCGTGTGGGAGTCTAGCAACATAACCACTATGCCATCTACTGAGCCCATTTAACTTGTTCTTACAGGACCAGAAAGCAAATATTCTTTGGCCATACGGTCTGTCACAGTTACTCAACTCTCCCGCTGTAGCAAGAAAACATAATATGTAAACATACAGGTTTCACGATGTTTTAGTAAAACTCTATTCACTAAAACAGATGGCTAACATGTTAGGTCCTAGTCTGCTGATCCCCGTTATAAAGGGAAGAGGTTTAAATGTTATTTAGCATCATGTCGCTCCTTATGTGGCTATTCAGGGGGCCACCCTGGCCTTACTTGGGAGCTTGTGAAATAGGCAGAATTCCAACTGTCATCCCAGATCTACTGAATCAGAATCTGCATTTTAACAAGCTGTCTAGCAGATTCTTAACATGTTAAGAGTTTGACAACCACTGATATAGTAATTATCAGAGTTTATCCTAACAAGCTAGTTAGTTACAATATTAAGAGGCAGAAGCTGGTAAGTGGCATGGTGGTTGGGGTGCTGGACTCCCACATGGAGGAGAAGGGATTGCAGCATGGCCATCCCCCCTGGGGGGTGATTTCTTGCTTTCTGTCTCTCTATCTTTCTGGCAAGCACACGCACCCTACAACAAAAACCTCTAAAAAAAAAAAGGTCTATATAGCCTTCAACAGAATGCCTAAGAGGTCAATGGCACCAAAATAAATAAGCCCTAATTTAAAGACATTTAGGCATGAGGTAATCTGGGTCTGATATTAGAAAGAGTCGCTGTTAAGTGAAAAGTGGAGAGGAAGATTTAAAGTCATTTCTCAAAGAAAAAAAGATCAATAAAACCAATATTTATGGATAGAGAAATGAAAGAGAATGGTAGAGGCAGAAGATTCAAAATGACTACATGGGGACCAGCAAATGGCATAATGGTTATATTGCTGGACTCCCACTAGTCAACTGTGGTTCAAGTCCCAGATCCTGTAGCTTAAAACTCACACCAGGTGTGTGTGCATGTGTGCCCAAACTCCTGAGAGGAGAATGGACATAAAAGATTGTGGTGTGGCCATTCCCCCAGTGGGTGATTTCTTGCTTTCCGTGTCTCTGTCTCTCCAGCAAGAGCACATGCCCTGTAGCAAAAATCTCCCAAAAAATAAATAAATTAAGACTACATGGTACCAAAACTCTACCAAGAAAAACAAGATGAGGGTTATGTGTGTGTAGGGACGAGGGAGGGTAGCAAGAAGAAATGAAGATGCTCTGTGGAGATGATCCAGAGCCTGGTAAAATGGGGAGCTGGGTGATGCAAGGGAGACAAAGCCCAAAATAGCAAAGGGAACAGTTGTGATAAGTATCATGTGGTCTCATAATGAATGAATTCACTGACTGGGTTACACCATTGAAAGGAGAACCAAATTGTGGAAAACAGAAGATACAGCAGTACCCTAGAAGGAAAAGACTGGGCTTGAGCTAGGAAAATAGGAAATACAGAACACTGGAGGAGGGCTGATTATATGCATTTTCATGGCATTTGTAGTTGTAAAATTTTCAAGAGTAAGAAGAAGAGCTGACAGGTCACCACGGTTTCAGGAAGGCTGATGAGCACATTTTAATGAAGCACAGGACGCCACAACATAGTGGTTAAAAGCAATGGTTCTCAGGGCCAGAAGGTGGTATAGTGGTTAAGGTGCTGTACTCCCACATGGCTGACCATGGTCTGAGCCTCAGACTCAGCAGCTTGAGATTCATGCCTGGTGCATGTGCATGCATGCCCAAAATCCCAAGAGGAGAAGGGACTGGGAGTTGGCCATCTTCCCTGGGGGTTGATTTCTAACTTTCTGTCTCTCTGTCTCTCTGGCAAGCACAAACCTGTAGCAAAAATCTCTCAAAAAAAAAGAGCATTAGTTCTGAAGAATCTGATGAAACAAAGCTGCTCATATCATCGGTTCAAATGCCTGTCTATTCTTTACTTGTTGTACAGTGCACTTCAAAAAGTTCATGGAAAAATGCAAGTAGTAAGTTTATTTTATAATCTGTGTATTGATTTTCATGACATTATCTATAAACTTTTTGAAGACAGCTTGTATGTTCTTTGATGTTTCTTGCCTATCTCTAATCATTTCCTCATTTGTAAATGGGGTTAAAGGCTGCCTACCTCACAGGTTCTATACAGGTTAAATCAGTTAAGTGCTCACATTGAACCCACATGGTGTATAAACAATAATAGTGAAGATGCTACTACTACAACCACTGAAAGCTGGATGGTGGGATGAAGATGCTATTGATACTACTACAACCACTGAAAGCTGGATGGTGGTCACTTCAAAGACATCATTTTGATGAGAAGCAAGAAAAGGACTTGAGTGTTTTTTTGGTTTATATATACTATGTTGTAATCAATTGTGTGACTGCAACACCTAGATGTAAGTGGCATGAAGAGATCTGGGAACAAATAGCATGGATTCCTGCTAAGTCCTTAACCCTCAGACAGAAGTAGTTTAGAAGTGTCTCTACGAGTTGGACACCAACACTCAAGATACCATGGGTATTGTTGAAATGTTTTACAGAGCTGATGGGAGAGAGGCAATCATATTGCATGTTAATTAGAAGTGGTTAAGATGGGCCCAGCTCAGCCATCTCCTTCACTACCCAGCTGTCGAGGGTCATTTTCCCCTCCACCACTTCCTCCAGTCAACCTACTATGGGAATGACTTAAATTTTAGTGCAAGGATTAAGGAAAAGATGGGTGGTAAGACTATGAAAATGGGAGACAGGTATAATGTTTCACCTGGAAAGTGTTAGAATGCAGATTAGGCAATGACTGGAAGGAATGGGAGAATCATAGAAGATTACTTGCAAGAATATCTGAATATGAAAGAGAAGGTGGGAGGCCAGCAGGTGTGGTGGTGGTTAAGGCGCTGGACTCCCACATGGCTGACCTCAGTTTGTGTCCTGGACCTGGTGGCTTGCTTTCTCACTTTCCCTCTCTCTCTCTCTGGTCAAATTAAAAAAAAATAATAATAAATAGATAAAATAATTCTAAAATTAAAAAAAGAAAGAAAGAAAGAAGAGGTGTACTTCATGAGCAAGACTAAAGATTCTGAAGAAAGATAGGTGGGATGAGCACATAGGAGAGAGGTGAGATTTCAAGTAGAGGGAGAAGGAATGCCTATATATGGGGGATTTGGATACATGACAATTGAAGTGTCATCAATAAGGCTGAAGTTCTTAAAGAAATATCAAGTCTTTAAAGAACAGGACTATAAACAAAATTTCAGAGTGTCAACCTTCTAATGTACCCCTTTTGCTAGATTTATTACACTTACCCTGACAATGGCACCCTGGGCATGCTGACTCACAAATCCATGGTGCCTCTTCCTGCTCCAGCCTGAGGATTACATCTGGTTTGGTGCCTTCATAACCTGTTTCAGGAAAATGATCCAGGCCTTGGACTGAGGTCCTTGGTCTTTAGAGTTTGGCAGGCAGCTGCAAAGGCTGCACAATAGATGCTGTACTTGGGCATGGGTTAGGGGATACTGTGTATGTGTATATATATGTGTATGTGTGTGTGTGTGTATGTATGTATGTACATATATATATGTATATATACATATGTATATATGTATATACATACACACACACACACACACACACACACACACACACATTCAGAATCATGTAGAATTAGTACTCTAGGACCTCTGAAACTCAAGCAATACTTTCTAAGGCAGCACTGTGAGCAGGTTAGGAATGTGTTCTGTGCAGATACTGCTGGGGTTCAAACTCTGACTCTAGTATATACTATTTGGGTTACTCTCAGCAAGTTATTCTCTTCACTGTGCCTCAGTTTCCAAATCTGTAAAATAGTGGTTCTAATAGTACCTACCTCATGAGGCCTTATGAAAAGTAAATGAGTTAACATCTTTAAAGTGGCTATACAGTATCTGGCAAATTAAAGTGCTAGATAAGTATTAAATAAGTCCGGTATTTCAGAGGCTCTAGGTACTTCTTCGGTTTTAGCAATCGAGAACGGGAAGATGATCAGCCAGCCCAGCATAATCTGAATTGCACAGCAAAACAGCTCCTACCCACTGAGACGAGGTTGCTATAGGTCTCCAGCATCACATCCCGATATAGGGCCCTCTGAGTAGGCTTCAGCTGGTGCCATTCCTCTTGAGTAAAGCCCACAACCACATCTTTGAATGACACAGGTCTCTGTTAAA